TACCCAGTCTCAGGTAGTTCTTCATAGCAGTGTGAGAACTAATACCCATTACTAATTGCTGGCACAGCCTCCTTGAGGGTAAAGGTAAGTTTGTAGATGGCTGAACTGAACAACCACCACTTAATCTCTAAGGAAGGGGTGTGTGCACCCACATCCTGGACTGAAACAGGGGTCGCTTTGCTTTGCCTGGCTAGAAAAGATAATCACTGCCCCCCTTGGCAGGACAGCCTGCATTACCTCACGGCATGTATCACTTTTGCAGGGCAACTAAACATTTCCTTCCTCTGCCTTGGTCCAGTTTAGCCAGAGGCACACCTACCCACCCACCCACCCACCTCTGTGCTCTACTTCATGTGTGGTTTGGACGTGCTCAGCTGTACTTGGAAGGACAGTAAGACACCCAAACCTCTGTCCTCTCCCACAGAGAAAGGAAAGTTGCACTTCTCGTGATACTAAAAGACACGGTACCTTTCGTAGTCATAGTGCCTGTTTACTCATCTACAAGACATTGCAAAAAGCAAAGTCTAGTTTTGAGTCACCTAGTTTCCTTTATCTTCACATTTCAAGTGTCACCTTTCCACTTCTCACTTTAGGCCCCTCCCAAGGGCTGATTCCATCCCTGAAAGCAAGCAGGACGTCTAGGCATAGACTATGAGCTGGACGCTTTCATATATTACTTCATTTAATCTTCAAAACAATCAGTATCTTCATTTTACACAGAAATAATAGTATATGGGCAATACCCAAGGAGCACTGTGGTAGCTACCTTGTATATGCCATGGCAAATCCTCCCTAAAAGCTGCCACAGTAATTTATATTCCCATTTTGTAGATGAAGAAACTAAGGTTCAGCCAGGTCTGTCCAACCCCAAAGCATTTTGGGGTTGGGCCAAGCCAGATAAGGGACCCACAAGGGAGAGTACAAGGAAGAGTACATCAATGGCTTGGGTATAAAAATTTATTATACATAAAGAATATTACCACTAACAAATGCAGACAGGCTAGGACATGGTACTGGGTGGAGGACGGCTAGCTCTTTGGAAAGTGAAAGGTTTGGGTGGCGTGGACCTCATGCCACGCTGATTGGTCAGTCAGAGGCGAGCAGCGAAGAGACACCACAGGGCATCAGGGCATCACAAGATGCCGCTCTGTGTGCCCACAAGTGTTCCTGTCTCATCTGGGCCTTCGAAGGACCACCCAGAAGCGACAAACTGAAGCGAAGGGCTTCCTGAGGTGCCCCTTCCAGGCTTGTCTCTGAAGTCACAGCAACACCACTTTAAGCAGTATGTTTAATGGATGATTTCCACAAACTATCCACGAAGTTTCTAACCATCACAATTCAGTGAAGTACAAACACTGAGTGACAGTGTGGGGAAGAAAGGCAGCACCAATGTGGCACCTTCCAATCCTGGTTGTTCTAGGCAGGGAGAGGGAAGGTCTTTTTTTAAACCAAGCCCCTCATTTCAAATGTACAAAAGAATTACTCTGATCAATATTAAATATTGTGAAAACAAAAATGGACTAAAAAGCAAATTCTACTCTATGCTTGGGGTGGAAGTGGGAGGAAAGAATGAGTCCTTCGACAGAAGGGAAGGAGATAGCAGGGGAAGGTTCTGTGCCTGTGACCTGGGTGGTCACTCCACGCTGCTCCATTTTTACTTTTGTGTCCCAGGAAGGTCCGATTTTTCTCTCTCTTTCTTCCCTTTGTATTGGCTTGGAAGTTTCGCCAGCTGTCCACCACGACACCATCTCGACTTTCCCTAAGTACACAAAGAAGTTTGAGGTGAGGAGACCACTTAATGAGTGGAAAGGCCTAAACCTGCTCTCATCCATCCACCCTCCTGTAGCCCAGCCTCAGTTCAGCCCCTGGACTAATCCAAGAGTAGCACCATAGCACTGCGCCAGGCGCGTTGGCTCATACCTAGTATCCCAGCCTGTTCGGGGCGTCGATGGGGCGAGATCACCTGAGGTCCAGGAGTCTCAAGACCAGCCTGCGGTCCAACATGGGCTGAACCGCTGCTCTCTAATAAATCACAAAAATTCACCGCCTGGCATGGCGGTGGCCATGCGCTGTAATCCCGCTGACGGAGGCTGAGCAGGAGAATAGCGTGAACCTGGGAGGCAGAGGTTGCAGTGGGCCAAGACCAGGCCACTGCACTCCAGCCTGGACAACAAGAGCGAGACTTCATATCAAAAAAAAAGAAAGAAAAAAAGAAAAAAGAGTAGCATAGGCTGGGCATGGTGGCTCACACGGCAGGTGGATCACCTGAGGTTGGGAGTTCGAGACCAGCCTGACCAACATGGAGAAACCCCATCTCTACTAAAAACATAAAAACTTAGCCAGGCACAGTGGCGCATGCCTGTAATCCCAGTTACTTGGGAGGCTGAGGCAGGAGAATCACTTGAATCCAGGAGGCGGAGGTTGCAGTGAGCCGAGATCACACCATTGCACTTCAGCCTGAGCAACAAGAACGAAACTCCGTCGGTTTTCACACCATTTCCATCTGCTCACCTCCCGAGGTAGCTGGGAGCTACGCAGGCGCGCTGCCACCACGCCCGGCTAATTTTTTTGTTTTTTTAGTAGAGACAGGGTTTCACCACGTTAGGCCAGGATGGTCTCGATCTCCTGACTTCGTGATCCGGCCACCTCTGCCTCAGCCAAAGTGCTGGATTACAGGCGTGAGCCACCGGCGCCCAGCGCTAAAAAATTATTTTTTAAAAATTATTGTTTAATTTATTTTTACAGGCACACTAACAGTTTGACCCTGAATGGTTTTTTAGATTGTAGTAGGCAGCGCTGCCCAGTGGGCTCAAGAAAAAATGGATTGCACTTTTAATTTAGGGGAATAAACATAGAGTATTTGCCCTACTTGGAGATCTGTTAGTAGACGCTTGAAGTTCTTGTGGCCCCAGTGTCTGCATACAGAGAGAGTTAGAACTTTTGAACTTGACTCTTCTTTGACACCCTGGTTATATCCTTCAGGTGGCTGGCCGCAGAAGGATTGGTGGCAACATTTGATCTTTTCTTTCTAATAGATTGTAAGGACTCCCA